GTAGTAAAACGAGATTTGACGTGTGCATCCATGTAGACGGGCAATACAACAGACGATCAAACATACCGTAATTTACAGTAGATTCGGCCTCTAGAAGTTTGCATGGAAGCCTCAAAGCACCAGGTTTTTTATCAGCACGTGACCTTGTTTTTGGGTTTGGGGCTTTAGGTTTGTATGGTTTTGGCTTGCAGAGCCTCAGGTTCAGGGAGTCGCCTGGACGATGGAAGGGTCTTTGCCGCGTACGTGCAAGCTGTAATTTCGCATGGGACTTGCTGACACCAGGGCGATGTTGACGGCGCCATCGCGGCGTATGCCGTCCTTCTGACGGCTTTGGCATCTTGGCCCTCCATGCTGTGTTTGAGGTTGCTTTTCGTGCCGCTGCTGGTTCTAGGCGTGATTCAAGCCCATGCCGCAACATTCTTTTCTGACATTTCGGGGGATGCGACCACTTCCCCGCAAAGGGCTCTTCTTTGGGATACCACATCGCGTCAGGAGCACCGGAGGCACCGGAAATTCTCAACTTTGACCCTGCTTCAACCCTTTAAATTACCCGCACCCGAACCCCAAAGCTTCAAAGCTTTAAGCTGAAACTCTGAACCCCGAAACCCGCGATACTCAAACCCTGAATCCCGGCTTCTTTTGAACTGAGGACTCTGCCCAGGAAGCAGGCTTCCCTCTCCTGAAGGATCCCCGTGGTTTTTGTTCGGAGATCTTCCGTTTGACGCAGGTTTGGCTTCCCGGCGTCGTGTTGAGGTGTTTTAGGGTTTAGTGTTTAGGGTTTTGTGGTCTTGGCCTGTGAACCGTCAGCTGGGCAGGTAGCTAGCTGCTGGTTCGCAGCCTGGAAGTCTTAGTTGGCGCATTTGGCTCGTACCGTTCGTCCCAGCGTAATAAGCATGCTTCCCGGACCGCTCTGTGCCACGAGCTTTGCTTCAGAAGAAGGCCGACGGCCGAAGTCGTAAGCACTGGTCCATAAATTCCTCCGAACCCCTAACCCTAAACCCTAAACCCTAAACCCTAAACCGCCCAGAAGCCTGCGGAAGCCCTCATATTACATGGATCCCTCCGCGCCTGGGAGGAAGGCGGCGCTCTGGTCCTGGAGGTCCCCGCGGCCTTGGAGGCATCGGGGGGACGTTTCTTGACAAAAGGTTTAGGGTTTAGGGTTTAGGGTTTAGGGTTTCGGGTTTAGGGTTTAGGGTTTAGGGTTTAGGATTTAGGGTTTAGGGTTTAGGGTTAAAAAGGTTTGCATACTGGGAGTTAGGATTAGGGGGACCCTTGGGGATATAGTAAGAGAGCCAAAAGTAGGGTTCAGAAGGGGTGCCCTTTAAGGGATACCCCTAATAATACTACCCACATACTGTAGACGTCTTTGAAGGGTTTTCGGGGTTCGAGAGGTCCTCAACTGTGATTGGATCGACGGACCGATGTGTTTTGTCCGTAGCAGCATGCTTGTTCTGTAGTTACTGTAGTCAACGTCGTTGCTGATTTGGTGACACTTGGTGTCTGCTATATCGGTGCTCTATCTTCAGAAGGGCCCAGCCCTGAGACTTAAGCTTCGGAGGAGGCGAGGCAGGGTCTTGTTCTGCTTTTGTGCCCGGAGGTTCGAATTTTGCTTACACGACCACTACAGACTCAAAGGCTCCAGACGTTCGACATTTCTCGGCTTCGGAGCGATCTCTCGGCCGAAGGGCTCGACTAGGTTCTGGGATGGAAGCCGAGATGGTGAGGCGCCAGAAGTTGCGTGATAGTCCTTGATTCCTCGATCTGCAGAGCATCACATGGCTCAAAAACCTATCCTTCGCACTTGTCTTCATCCACACCCCAATAGCTGTGAGCACTTCAGGAGTCAGGAGAATTTCGAGGATCCAAGACTTCATTAACTCCCAACTAAATGCCCATGTGCTTTTCGCAGGCATGGCCCGACTGAACTTTCCTCTCGAAGCCGCCAGCCAGAACGGGTATGCCACTACTCAGCCCCCACCCAAAACCCTGCAAAGCAATTCAAAACCCCCCAAAACCCCACCGAACATCCCCCTTCACCCGAAAAAGGGTACCCTTATATTTAGGGGCTACTGGGGAACCTAGAAGCTCGGTACTCAGAGAGCTCGGGTCCGTTCAGGCCTCCGTTCGACGCTTGGTGCTGGAAGCCCCAAAGGCCAAAGCCCAGGTGCCTTGGCCTCCTTTCTGATTTGGGATTTTTTAGGCTTTTGTTAGGGCGTCAGGGTGCTGTCACCTTGAGGAGTTCTGGCAGATGGTTTCGAAGGGCGGATCTTGATTTCGGAACGAGGATTTCGGATGCTTTTTTGGTATGAGGCGAAAGTCTTGTTGACTTGGCAGAGTTTCGAGAGATGGCATGCAGGGAAAGATCCTAACCCCTTCTAAGCGAAAGAGTGAAGATCCGAATGCCCAGCAGCCATAAAAGCCCCAGCGCCACATCGAAAGAAGCCAAACCCGGGCCCAGTCGGGCCCTGGGCAGTTCGAAGCTCCCAGAAAGCCCTCGGCCGCTCCGGTTTCCCAGGCCTCGCCGCCTCGGAGCGTCTGCCCTGTCTGCTGGGCTCCTCGGGCATCGAGTAGGGCCGAAGCCGAGTCCTTTCTCAGGTCTCTGCTTCATGAAACCTCTGAGCTTGCAGTGTGCTGCTGACATTGACTATGCTGGTGCAAGCCATCCTAAGCCCTAAACCCTAAAGCCACAACCCTAAACCTAAAAGCCCTAAACCCTAAACCCTAAACCCTAAACCCTAAACCCTAAACCTCCAAACCCTAAACCTCTAAACCCTAAACCTCTAAACCCTAAACCCCAAACCCTAAACCTCTAAACCCTAAACCCTAAACCCCTAAACCCTAAAACCCTAAACCCTAAGCCGGGGCTTAGTCTCCGTCTCCGCCGGCTACTTCCGGACTCTCACGAGGCCGCCTTCCGGCTCTGGCCGCCTTGCGGAGGTGCGCGAGGGGAGACTCGCTTTTTGGGGTTTAGGGTTTAGGGTGTCGGGTTTAGGGTTTAAGGTTTGGGGTTTGGGGTTTAGGGTTTAGGGTTTAGGGCTTAAGGTTTAAGGTGTAGGGTGTAGGGTTTGGGGTTTAGAGTTTGGGGTTTGACTGGCTTTAGAGTTTTGCATTACACCGAAATGCCGAGAAGCATGGCTCGTGGCGTCAGGCGGCGCGAGCCGGTGCGAGCTGGGCCTCAGAAGATCGCTGTGCCTGGAGGAGAGGCACGAATGTTTCCTTGGCATTCCCTAAAGTAGATGGAGCTCGTAGTACGAGGGTTCCTTCATGTGCTTTTATGCTTATGCCTTCACTTATGTAAAGCTTCTTGCTACGACTGTAGGACACAGTCAAGGGGTAGGTCTTCGTTCGGCTGTTTCGTCTCACCTCGGGTTGGCAGCCTGGAGTTGAGGCTGCGTGCTAATCGGCTCGGAGGGCTTCAGGATGTGACAAAGAGCGCCAGGAGCAAGAGTTGTAACACAGATTCCTCTCCCGGTGCTTCTGCCAAGGAAAGAAGCCCTACAGCATCTAAGCTTCAACCCATCCTGAAGTCCAAGCGGCACAGAACCAAGCAACCTCATCGACTGTACTGTAGTCTCCCCTACTCTTTGAAATTGCTTGTCCTTGAGAAGCGAGACCTCCAAGAATAGCCCGGGAATGAAATTCCATTCGGCTCGGAGGTTCCTCGATGCCTCGGGCGTCTTCCGGGGCTTCGTCTTCCGGCGCAGATCAGCGAGCCAAAAACGCCCACTGATCTTGTGTGGAGCGCTGTGCTCTCTTCAAGGAATTCAATGTCATTCTGTGGGTTAGTTCCTGTACTACAGGGGACCTGTAGTGTATTATTACCACAGAACACAGCAAAGGCCACCACGCAAGGAAGGATGACACCTATCTTGGGAGCTACAGGGGTCTTTGCAAGCGGTGTTTTGCAACCGCGCAACGAGCCCTGCTTGGGCCCTAAGAGCTGTGGACGCCGGTGGGTTTGATGCAGGGCCTACCCAGAGTTCAGCAACATGTAGCTCGATCTATGAGCTTGATTCATAATGCATTGGAGACACATGTCAATGCGTAGCTTTATGTGTGTACATACATACATACATACATACATACATACATACATACATACATACGTACGTACGTACGAACATACACACATGCATGCATGCATGCATGCATACATACATACGTACGTGCATACCTATATGCAGTACTCACTTACTCACACTTCACTTACAGACATCTCTGTCCAGCGGGCCAAATACCTTAGCGTGTTGCATGTCGTATTGGTGTCTGTTTACACCATGGTAGCAACCATGGTGCCGACTTCAGACTGTTGAAATATTGGGACCAGAAGGTAGCAACGAGACCTGGTGCACCCTGGACTGCTGGCTTTCTCTGTTTCTCTTGAAATGGGTGGCTCTGGGGTTAAGTTAAGGATCATGATGACGATGATGATGATGATCATGATGATGCTGATGCTGATGGTGGTGGAGGATTTTTGTTGCAGGAAATTTAGGCATGGTGCGGGGTTGAACGTTGACGCCAGACATCATGAGATTCTTGTGTGCGTCGCTTTGCCGCTATCCCACGTGTTGCAGGCATTGCTGCTGTGCGGGCCCCGGACATCTCGTGCCAATGTCATCCATCCATCCATGCATCCATCCATCCATCCAATCTCTCTCTCTCTCTCTCGCTGTCTCTCTCTCGCTGTCTCTCTTTTGTGTGCAAGCCTGTGGCATTTGACTTCGGACGAACAGAGCAAGATAGAACACTGGGTGCATTCTTTTGTGCTGTCAGTGTCCCGGTGGATCCAATGTGTTGGAATCAAGCCACAAATCAAAGTTCGGTCATGCCGGCAGGTCGCACCCGCATGTCCTCATTCGGGCCAGAGCCTCGTGTGGTTTGGACTGGATTTAGGATCGACGCGCTTGAGTCTTCTGGACCTTCGGGTTTCGGGTTCAGGGATTTGGGTTCCTGTCGTTCTTGTCACTGTTGGAGTCTTTGCTTCAAAAGAGTGTTCAGGTTCGGTCGAGCCCAGAGCTCTTCCAGAAAGAAAGAGAAGGTAACCGACAGACTGGAATTTGATGGGGCTCCAGGAGATTATCCTAACCTTTTTGTGAAAATTGGGCGAGGCGTGGTTGTCGTTCTTGGAGGCAGAGCTCGGGTAAGTGTTTCTGCTTGCCATGTGGCTCCTATAGACAATTCTTCATGAAGCTGTTCACAAGTCTCCGAGCTCCTTCGTCACGCAGTGGCTGCGCCGTAGATGCCAAAAAGTTGTTTTTGGAATCCTTCTGATCTCTTGCTGTCCCAAGAATCCTTGATCTTTCGAGTGGGGAAATCAGACATTGTTGGCAGGCGCTTACCATGACATCAACGGCGTGTTTTTCATTTCAGGGCCTCTGAGGAGCACGGATTAAGCCTCTCCATTCTCCGGGAAGGACACGTCGCTCTTCCGCCCATTGCGCCCAGCCGAACAGAAGCGGACACCGTCGCTCCGGAAATTGGTGCTTTGGCTCGGCTTAGAGTCTGAAGAGTAGGGCAGTTTAAGGCTTAAGGGTTGAGCTTGAGGGTTTTCAGGTCTAGGTTACTTCGGTTTAGGCAAGGGGAGGGGGTTTTGGGTGCCACGTGGTGCAGAAAGCCTGCGCAGCTCGCTTTCCTAGTCGAACTCTTCCGGCCTCAGTCAGTTTACCTCAAGCGCGTTGCGGCGACCCAATGTTGGCACTGCTGCATGCTCTTGTCTATAGTTCACCGACGAGCTTGAAAGACCAACTATCTTTACAAGTTGTGGTGTTGACAGCTCCGAGCAGTCCACAGAGACAGACCCACCTTGCAAAACAAATCCTAGACTCTGACTGAACCCAACAACAACCTTAATGCCAAAGCTCCAAATCCTAATCCCAAGCCCGAATCCGAATCCCAGGCGCAGCACTGGCTGCAGGACGGGGGTTGTGAGTTTTGAGAGGAACGCCTCCGCCCCCAGCCTGCCATGTGGGTAGTTCTCTAAATTAGGGTCCGTTTTATAAGGGTGCCGTACTATAGTTTTGGGGACCTAGAAAAGGGAGCCTAATTTAGAAAACTACCCATGTGAGCCCAACGAAGGAGACGATCCAAGAGGGCACTCACGACTCGGCGGCCGGCCCAGCCACGGAGAGCGCGGAGGTTTGGGAGTCCTTAAGGCGAGGATCCTCGACTCGGGGCTTCAGGAATAAAGGCCAACAGCAGCACTTGGGAATCTGAGGCTGGATGCCTTCAGGGAGGATTTCATCTGTTTTGAGTGGAGTTTTCAGAGTGGGGTTTTAATATTTAGGATTTGAGGTGGGTTTTCAGTAGGCTTTTGGGGTGTCGCACTTTGTGGTTTGTAAACGCACATAGAATTCCTGGGTTGATGTTCGAGATCCTATTATCACTGTTCGGCCGGAGCATGCGTAATGTGATCTCGCACATGGGCAGGAACCCCCCAAGCAACTTGAGAGGCGCATGAGGTGAACTGTTTGGCCGCTGAGCCCAGCTTCGAGAAGCGTGTGACGTAGCAACAACTCCTGAAGCTAAAATCTCTGCAGAGAGCTTGGGTGCGAAAGGCAAAAGCACCCGAACCACTGACTCACGAAGATTCGCAGCTCTCTCGCCCTGCAGCTCGCAAGGTCATGGATGCGCGAATCGCGCTGCGCCTCTATGCGTTGAAGAGCCAGCCGGGCTTGTTGCAGCATACTGATAACTGTAGACGGTCAGAAGCCGTGTGCAGGCATATTTCAGATTCAACAGCGCCTAAGGTGGGATGCAAGTTTGAAGGGCTGGGACCTCCCCAGGATTACAGGATTCAAGCCCAGTCCTAAGACATTGCCCTTGAAGGTATAAGTACTTTAATTGGGGTTTATAAGTAGTCCATAAGTATAGTTGTCTAACTATGTATTATCGGGTCATGGACTTCCGCCTTAGTGTCAGGCAAGATCTGGGAGAAGCACATGCGCCCCGCAATGCAGCATCACTCAGGCTGGGCCCGGTTTCACCTGCCATGAAGCCCCGAAAGGCCCCCAAAATAGGAGTTCCTTTATTTTTGTGGGTTTGTATGTAGGACCCTATTAGGTAATCCCAAAAAGGAACTACTATGGGGCCTATGGGTAATCCCCGAAACTTAATGTAAGCAGAAACCTTCGGCGCTCATTCCCTGATGCTTGAAACCTCGAGGGTTGCGATAGCTCAATCGTCACCCTTTCCCTACGAAGCCCGAAGGTCAGCGAAGCGACCCGACCGGCAGACGTGTTCAGCGAGTAGGGATACCCCTGGCTAGACCACCATGAGCAGCAACTCCTTGGCACATTGACTTGTGCAGAGAGGCTTCAGGGTTTTGGGTTCGTGGTGAAACTTCTCAAGCTTCACGGTCCCAGCAAGCAGAAGTCTACAGCTTTGGCTGGGAGGTGCCACGCGCCACCCTGCCGTCGTTGACACGGAGGACGGACGCACGATGGGTGCTCTTCAGCAGTGGATTGGTTTTCCTGTGGCTCCATGGCAGATCAACGTCGCTTTACACAAGCCTCAACATGCCGTTGTGGGTTTTAAGTACATCATCGTCATCATCAGCATCATCATTATCAGCATCCGCATCCGCATCCGCATCAGCACCAGCATCCGCATCTGCATCAGCATCATTACCATCACATCATCATCACCATCATCACCATCATCATAATAAGCATCAATCATCATCGTCATCGTCATCATCATCATCATCATCATCATCATCATCACCATCACCATCATCATCACCATCACCACCATCATCATCATCATCATCATCATCATCATCATCATATTCATCATCATTTTCATCATCATCAGCAGCATCCGCATCTGCATCAGCATCATTGCCATCACATCACCACCATCATCATCAGCAGCATCATCATAATGGCCATCATCATCACCACCATCATCATCATTATCATCATCACCATCATCCCACCGCCATCATCATCATAGTCACCTTCATCACCGTCATCACCGTCATCATCATCAAGTGTCATCGTCAAAGTCATAGTCATGTCCAGCAGCATCAGCCATCACCGTTACTGCTCGTCCTCTTCTTCCTCGTCTCCGTTCTCCTCGACATTGTGGTCATGATCATCATGATCATGCAAATTCGGTGATCAGCACCATCATGACTATTCCTGCCATCATGAATATCATGAGACCGGCAGCATCCTGTTCTCTTTCCACCTCGTCCTCCTCCTCATCCTCTTCCTGCACCTCGTTCTCCTCCTGCTTCTCCTCTGCCTTTTGCTGACTTCTGCATGCGCTAGTGGTGGTGAAGCACTGAACAGAAACCCAATTCCGAAATGGAGTCCAACTCATAAAGATTTCTTTGTCAGGGGTGCAGGGCTTGTGGGCTTCACATCTTTGAATTTCTTTGTCGGACAATCAACCAGGGCTGCCCCAGAGAACTCCAACTGGTGTCGTAAAGGGCCCTGGTTGGGACCATGAACTGAAAAGCGCAGTTTCTCACGAGGAAGAGGATGACGGCGAACGTGGGAGCCTCGGCATTCTCGCTGCATCCGCTCAGTTGCCAAAGGGCAGTATCGAGGCTTCCCTCTCTGCGGTTTTCGCATTCCGAGGTAATTAGTCGCGAAGTCTATGATGGTTTTCTCCTCAAGTTCCTGGACTACAAGCCCGACAATGCCTACAGAACTCTTGAGAACTTGAAAACTGACACGACTTAGCCCTTAAGCCACCCTTGCAAAATTTTGCTTCCTGACAAGAACCGCCCTCCTCCAGTTCAACTTCTCTCCCTTCGAGGTGTGGACCGGGCGGAAGTGCCCCAGACCCGACAGCCATGATCCCAGCAACAGCCTTTAGGATTTAGGGGTTAGGGTTTAGATTGTAGGCATTAGGGGTCAAGGATTTAGGAGTTGGGTTTAGTTGCTCTGCTTGAGACTATACGCATTCGGGAGAGGGATCAGTGCCCGGCTCAGAACACTTGCTTTCCAGTGCCGTGAGGCTGCCTGCAACTCCGTCGAGCCTTCCTGTTGAAACATCCGCGGGTTTAGGTTTTTTCCAGTGTTTGCGGTGAAGGTTGAAGCGCTTTGCAGGTTGAACCAGGCTTGTGGGGCGTTTAAGGTTTCACGTTTACAGCACTCATGTAGAGTCAATGTAGAGTTGTTTTTGTAGGTGGAAGAATTCCCCAAAGCCTTCTGCCAATGATTCGCACCATGAGGCCAGCTTGTTCTGATTGTCTGGCATGTGATGTTGCCTGAGATCCGATATGCCCTCTGTTAGGCCCGCAGCTACTCACCCCAGCAAGTCCCAAACCCCAGCCCCAAACTTCAGCCCCCAAACCGACCTGCCGAAAGCTCTAAACTCACACCATGAAGGTACCCTAGACCCTAAACCCTAAACCCCTAAACCCCTAAACCCTAAACCCTAAACCCTAAACCCCAATGCCTCCTTGTCTTTCAGGCCAAAGAGAAGAAAGGCCCCAGGGCCAGGAAATGCCGACGCCAGGCTGGGGTCCCTGGTAGGACTTTCCGAAAATTAGGGTACCTTATTCTGGGGTCCTTATAATAAGGAACCTATTATTTAGGGTACTCTATTAGGGTCCCCTATTTTTGGAAATCCCCTGGTGACCCGGTCCGGCCAAAAAGACTTCGATGTTTTTGGGGTTTAGGGTTTGGGGT